CGATTGGATACACCTGCCTTTCCCCTTCAGAATGGCGTCACAAGTCATGCGACTTGAAGGACATCTTCCTCTTCAAAATAACTGACCCTGGCCATAACTGGGACTCAGACCCGACGGGCGTGGGAAAACGCCGGGAATGGGCCCCGATCAGTCACGATTGCAGTGACATCTCTGTCTTGTGGAGCCGAAATTAAGGACTTCCTGCTTCCAGAATCCACACTCAAAAAAATTCCGGTAGATGCCATCCGAAACTTCGCACTGTAGTTAGTTGGATCACTTTAATGATGGACTGAAAGGACTGATCGAACTTCTGACTCGCAGGCTTAATCAAAGTGATATTCAAGAATCCAATTGCAACCGGGGAGAAAGAGAGAGAAAGTCCAAAACCCTTTGACGACGCCTCCAATCGCATCCACAGACGTCAGGGTTTCATTGGATATATCGCGATCATTAAAATAAAACTTTCATGGGGGTCTACCCAATCGGTGCACGAGGTCAAGATGAAAAAAAAGAACCAATTATGCAATATAGCGTATTTTTCGTCACTTATTTGAATGAAATTCAGCAAAATGATTTTTTTTTTTAAGTTTGCAGGAATTGCGATTATGGCACCATTTCACTTCGGCTGTGGGAACCTTGCTTCCTTGAGAAACTGCCAAGGCTTGCCTCCTATTCCATTTATTTTATTACGTAGCTTTTTTTTTTACTTGTAACTGTTGACCTCACTGTTCACCGATTGGGTCGAACCCACAGACATTTTTACTTTATTAGTCAATAGCTGTCTAATGGCATCCATGGCATCAGTGAACGCAACAGGACATATTTGGGCATACTTTTTTGTGTCCATTCATACCGAACAGACATTTTAAAGGATGAGATCTCGCTTACGACCCTGGACCCGTAAGTAACAAATAACTTCTTTTGCTTTCTTATGTATCGTATGGGAATTTTCTGCAACATCAAAGATGGAAATATTCCTGCTTTTGAAATTTAATTTCGTTCTGTCCATACCAACGGATCAAGCGAGCCGATGCAATCTTATGAAAGAAGTAGTCCTAACATTTTTTCTGATTTTTTTTTTCTCGGATACCTAGATTTTTTTTGGGTACCGTTATCGTTGACTTCTCGGGCGTCAGCAGTGAGAAGCAACCCCTCACCCCGAGGAAATCATAGCCTTGAAAATAAGATATATTTCCGGTAGTTAACATCTCTTTCTGTTGATGAAGCGAAGTCCGAAATGCCAATTATACCGGTACCTTCGTGAGTAGGGTAATGATGATTTCATGGCCGATATTTGTAGAACACCACGGGGGGTTTCTGGTTCCTGATACTGCATCCGGGCAAGCCTTTCTTCTTCAGGGTATGGTTAAAAATGACCTCGGCTTTGCGGCCATATATCTTCACTCTTGCAGGAGATTTTTCACTGATTTGGCACTGCGCACGGGCCGATTATTCCCGACAGAATTGTGAAATCTCATCAAAATTCCTTCAGCCAGAACGAAACGAAAGGTACATCAAGTGGGGAAAAAAATAATCAGGTTTGGTTCAAGTTCCTTCAGTTTCTTCTCTGTCACTGTCTCCGAAGTAAACGGGAAACAAATTTATTTATTTAAAGCAAAATATTTTAATTATACCGGTGCTTATTTATCGATCAGTCTTAATCGGGAAAAAAAAGTTAGTAGAGCATATTAAACAAAAGGCCAGTCAGAAAAGCGACTCTTGGCGGAATACATGTTTGATCTGGTCTGGATCGGATAAGCAGTAAGAAAGCGATGGCGTTTTTTTCACTCGACTCCATGCACGGGCTCTCACGCTCATTCTCAATTTCGGACTTCTTCTAAGTAGCTGCTCATAGCGTCGCTTGGGCACAACGAATCACGATGTGGTTCACAGGCGTTTAGGGAATATTTCAATCTGTTGTGCGTAGTGAATGTTTTTGGCGAGTATACCATGCGAAAGAAAAGATACACAAGATCAAAGTCGAGTATCTTTCCTTATACTGAGATGCGCTCTCTTGGGGAAAAAAAGAACTTTTTCTTCTTCCACTTTGTTCATGTGAAAGCTGGAAGCATAGACTGGGTTTCATTTGTCACACATGAACAAGCGACAGTTAGGACTCAGCTGTTTACTGGCCATTTGGAGACTTCTGTATTTACAAAACCCTTCAGCATTACTGAGTAGAGTTGGTGAATGTGCATGACTCAAAGACTGTAGTTCAAGAAATAAATATAAATCGGCTTTTATATATTCAAAATTGTATTTCGGCTGGAATTCATTGTAGGCACCTCCATCAAAGCAGCAGAGCATGAGAATCCAGACCATGTGGGAGGGAACAACATGGAAAGGTACACAATAAACTCAATATCACATTCACATATTCCATTTCTGGAGGAAGGGAAGAACACAGGCATAGAAATTTCTTCCAATCCAGCATCACCTAAGTTCTGGTTCACCTGCAAGGAAGAAAACCATGATATAAATGTCAGGTTTTGTACTGCTTTCATACTGCACTCAAACTTCTCTGAATAAACATCAGAATAAACAGCTGTTGGCAATAAAAATAAAAATTAAATATCATGATGGGAAAGACAAGTCTTGTAATGCATCTACTTGGGCATCACTTCATGATCTTGTTTTACAAACTACATTCACCTTCTGAAACTCAACCACCATTCAAAACTTATGTTTTTATATGGTTTGGGTCAGTGGTTCTCAAACTGTGTGCAGCAGCACCCTGGGTGCTGCCAGAAGCTGGCAAGGGTGTCGTGGGCATTGAGAGAATTTTTTTTTGGGCCTTCCAACAAGGTAGCACAATGAGGCCAAAAGTCTAAAAAGCAACTGGTGTGTTTGAGATGTACTATATGGAGCAAGTAGGAAACCTCTTCTTAAGAACCGCTTCTGAAGTGCAACACTTCTGGCTTGATAGATATTTTCTTAACATAAGTGCTTACCAGGGGTATGCAATATGAGTAAATTTTGATAATAACTGACTCATATTGCATACTTCTGGTATGCACCTTTATTAAGAGAATATCTATCAGGGAGGAATGTCAAGATCAATATTGTTACTGCAACAAAGACACAGATTCCTTTTTTCTGGATATATTTTTCTATAATTTCTTATTCTTGGTACTAAAAACAAGTCTATGTTATATCTAATCATTACAAGTGAACTGCAAGAGGTCACTTCAAAATGTGAGCAGATGATTTAATTCTTAGGGCAACCAAAGACATGCACAGGTATTGCATTGGAGTGAAAAAAAAAGTCTGAAGACTTTTTTAAGGAATGATTTTTCCTGGTGACAGATCAAAATAAATATGTCATGCATGAATTCAGAGGTCCTGGTTAGGCTTATATAATAATATTGTTTATGCATTGGAGTGAAAAAAAAAGTCTGAAGACTTTTTTAAGGAATGATTTTTCCTGGTGACAGATCAAAATAAATATGTCATGCATGAATTCAGAGGTCCTGGTTAGGCTTATATAATAATATTGTTTATATTGGAGGTTCGTGGATGTGCCGGAGTGCTGCAAATGTCTCGCTATCTGGAGGGGGTGTCAATACAAAGAAAATGTAGAGAACAGCTGGTTTAGGTTGATTATATATGAATAAAGAAAAGGTTAACACGTGGACTGCCCATGTCCAGTTAATTAGTCATCAATGGCAGCAGAACCAATAGCATAATGGTTGTGATGGGCAGTCAATGTGTTAAAGATGCTTCATGGTGAAGAGTACTTTGGATCATGATATTTATTATATATATGATCATGGGGAAAAACAAGGGGCATCCATCCCAACATTCCTTCCCCCTTGACTCATTGCTCCATCTCCAGAATATACAGGGTGGGCCAAAAAAAACCCAGACAGTTTTCAACGGTATACTATACAGCACTTACAGTGTATATTTTGATGCAGTTTGTGCCATTTGAAGGGGAATGAATAGGCTTTACAATGGTGTATTTACATTTAAGTATCTTCAACAGTTTCAGAAATTCAGGAGCTCATATAAACACCAAGCAAAAAATTATGTTGCCACAGGACAGGTTAGGGATGGACAGACAGCAGCCTTCATGACTGAAGGTCACAAGCCATCTCCCTCTGAGAATGTGGCAATACAGGTTTTTATTTGCTGTTCATATGAGCTTCCGAATTTTTGAAAATGCTGAAGATATTTGATAAGTAAACACATAATTTTAAAGCTTATTCAATACTCTTTCAAATGCTGCAAACCACATTAAAATATCTGCAGTGCATGAAGTGTAGTTTATCATTGAAAACCGTCTGGGTTTTTTTGGCTCACCCTGTATACCTTTATTATCAGAAACTCCATACTTTCTTAACACTTTAATGCTTGATTTTTTCATTTTCAGAAAAAAAAAAATCAGGTGGGTTTCACTTAAGTCCTGGAACACAGGAAGAATGGAAAAAAATATTCTCTCCTCCAATTTTTAAGCTGAAGGCTTGAGCATTTTCTGTTGCAATTATTGTTGTTCATTGTTTTAATACTTTTTGGTTCAAATCTTAGCATATATTCTACACTATGCATGAAAGAGTTAAACTTATGATTTAGGATTTATTAGTGAAGGTTGCAGATGTACAAAGCTTATAATTAAGAACTGATCCAGTAAATAATATAAGATTATAGGAAACATATACAGCATTCTTCCAAAGTCACTGTTCATTGATAGTTCTTGACTATCATCAATTAACAAGGAAGAGGCCCCAGTTGCTCATGGGAATCTGGGAAGTCTTAAGTAGCATAATTTTGTTTTATATTACTGCTGGAAAAAGGTATGAAATTGGCAAACATTCATTGCCAATTTCCACTTTGGCAAACTTTGTGAAGATCTGCTTATTGGTGATTACATTCTAATCACATTATCTACATAAAAATAAAAATGAGGATAATAATGGTAATAGGATAGACTTTCTTATGAAACTGTCCCTTTCTGAACCGAGTGGAACCCTTCTACAAAAACTTCTATCCTCTCGAAAAAATTATTGTCGGGTTAGATCGTACTTGTCTTCATCCCGCAACATGTAGACAATGTAAGGACCAGATACAGGGGTGGGCTTTTTCCTTTTCCCTTTTTGTCTGTTAGTCATTTCTGGATCTGAGCTACCTTCCCTCCTTCCTGCTGTTCCCCCAGAGTTTTTATGCTTTCCCTGCACAGTTCTCAGCTCCCCAAAATCACTGAACTCTGCACTAAAACGATCCTCTTCCAACTTCCTGATTCGATCTTCCAAGTCTTGCTTCATGTGGTTGTACAAGTCAATCTTCTCAGCCTGTGGGACAAGAAGGAAAAAAAAGTCACAATGTAGTTAAACCTAATAGATTTAAATTGATACAATTACAAGCCCTGCATGCTGCTGTTTTATTTAACTATATATAATAAGGGAGAGAAAGGTCATTTTAAATTTCAGAGTTGTTGTAATTCATCACAGATTCCCTATACTTTTAAGACGGTAGGAAGACAGTTAGGAACTTATTTAATACTACTCCCGACCAAGGTTTAAAGGGTCTTCAAAACTTGGTCGGGAGTCGGTCACCAATCCGTTTAAGACTTAAAGACGTGTAAAAAGGGTTAGTGTTGAGACTTGTAATGGTTGAAATGATACCTAGATTCAATTACACATATGCTAACGAGGTCAAATTGTTCACAGGAGATTAAATCCCACCAATATCAGGTTTTACAAGTTTTAATTTGTTATGTTGTCTCTGGAAAAAAAGTTTAAGTCTACATCTTAATCTCCACTGAATCCAAAGAAATAATTATATTTTCACAGAGGGGTGCCTATTCCAGCATACAGGCCACCATAGGAAAAATTTTGAAAGTTTTAGACTAAAAGCAAAAACCCTCTGACATTTCATGCAATTCCACCCATAAGCAGAATAGGCACAGGAAATGGCTTTAGCCGTAAACATACCCAACAGAGATAAACAAGAGAAACTTTTTTCCCCAGAACATCATGAAATTAGGATCTATGCTTACATATTAGTGAGATATACTCAAAATGCAATCTGCAGCAGTGTATGTTGCTGCACTTTGAGACCATTCCATAACATCATTCTGTGTATGCTCAACAGCTGAGCCTAAGAGCCTGAATTGATAAAGTGACTTTAGGAAGACAACATATACATAATCCATGCATTAGCTCTTAGAGTAGTACATATTAAGACTTTAATCTCTGAAGGACTTTTAGATTATGTGCCCTCAAAAATTTTCAGGACATGAGGATGGTGAGATTTCCTACCATGTAAAATTTTAAGCTCTTGGATCAATAAAACATCTAAAATGTAAAAATAATTCTCTTAGCCAGAGCACCAAGTTCCTGTTCAGTTTTCATGCAATTGGATAAGATCTTAGAAAAGGATGCTTGCCTGATATTTGCTTTAAAAGTAAGACTATAGTCATAATAGGAACTTACCTCATGGCAGCACTTGGCAGCCTTAGCTTCTTCCTCATGTCGCATGGATGCAGCTGCAAGCCGTACCTGCCACAAGACACCAGCAACTTCAATCCGAACCCCCATATTATCCTGCAATTCCTCAAGAGGTTCCAGATACTCTTTGGCTGTCCCTGTTTTCACCTCAGCCAGTTTCTCTTCAACCTGCTTCATTCTTTCTTCATATAGTCTACAGAGAAAATAATGATCTGATTTCCTGTACCACATTTTGTAAGGAGTATTATGTATAAAGCATTCATGACACACTGAAAACAGACTCAGTCTAGGTTTGACAACAAATCAAATCAATATTATATATTAATTAGAACAAATTCTATGCTTATTATCATGTCAATATGCTGAATGGGGGAGGGAGAGAGAAAGTTTTAAAAGCCCTGGATATCATTCATATCACTCATCCTTTGCTTTATAATTTTTAGTCTTCTAACTTGTATATATGTATAAAGTGAGTTTTTACAGACTGCCTTGAGAAAATATCAATACAATGGAGGAACGAGGGGATACCAGAAATTAATATAAATTTCTGATCATGCTATTTTATAACACAACAGTTCTTGCACATCCTTGGCAATAATCCAAAATTATGGAATGGTTCTTTGGCTTCCCAAAGGGCTCAGGGGGTACAAAACTCATGCACTGAAGCAAGCTTTCTTAGTTCTTGCTATCTGAGCAAGGACCATCATCTTTTGAATGGCTAGACATCTTTGACAACTATTAGGATGAGATGCAAATTATGTCAAGCAATAATGATATACTGAAAATTGAAAAAAGTGCATGAAATTGGTATGCTTTAGCATCCTGTTACTTTTAAGATCCTACTGCTACCCATAAGACAAGAAAGATCAGGTCCCTTGAACTACTAGCGATAAAGTTAATCACGCGTGACTTCAAGTTCACACAATATATTTTCTGTCTATTACAATATACTTCAACTTTTATAAAATCTTAATGTGCTGGGACATGAATGCTTTCATGATTATTGCAATGGCAGAATCAACATTGCTGGTAACCATATAGAGTGTTCCAAAATTGAATGAACATAGGTTTTCTGCTCTGCTTATGGTCCAGAAAGGCATATTCTTGTAGGCCTCATGTGTTAGGCTAATGAAGCAAAGGTAGTGACCCAGATACAAAATCCATGTCCAGTCAATTCTGGGAAATCCTATATAGCAAAGCTCATACCAGAGGTACCACTAGGATATGTGTGGCAGACCCAAGTCCCAAGTGTAGAGTGGCAACTCACTTTTCCCTGATTAGAAAGAACTGCTTCTCTGTAGCTGCCATTTCCTCTAGAATTCTACTTCTTCGTCTTTCACACTCCTCCTCATCCATCACTGTTTCAGAAATCAATATCATTCATTTTTCTTTCACAACATTGAGCTAGTCTACACTAACATTGTATATACAACATATAATTAATTAAACTGCATATAAAAGTGACCTAAGTATTGCAATATCTGAAATTGCAACTTTAATCAGAATCTTTCATACTGAAAAAGTTTAAAAGACAATGACAATCAATTACAAATAATCATTCTAAACAGGTCCCTAATTTCCTTTCAAATGGATCTTATCTATAGAGAAAGATAGCAAATGAATTTCTCTTTCAATGCCATTATCAATACAGACCAGTGAAGACCTACCAAATAAGATCAGATAATATGGCAATATCAATAATGCTTTGCTTTGCAATGCTTTTCTAAACTCATTGAATGCAGTATTTTATGTTTCCTTTACAGAAAGCATTTTTAATCAGCTTCTTTACAGGTGGTGATTAAAAAGATTAAGCATTAAATGAAGATTAACTTTCTTAGATTAATAATTTAAATTTATTGACCATTTAGCACCCCTAGAACTCTTAATCTTAGCCTACATCTCATTTGAAAGGCACAAAAAGGAACCTTGATATACCTACCAAGGTAAACAAAATGAAAGTTTTAATTACCTCTACTCAATTCAATATTCAATTCACCTGGTTTTGACTTATAAAAAAAAACTTTTAAAATTGACCGTGATTCCTGCATGATCAGCTTAATTAACATACTCCTCATTTTGTCAATTTGAATATCAGGTAGACTCATGTTTTGAATCACCCAGCTTGTTGTCTTATGAATGCTGTTTATAATATGGAAAAGAGGATGATTTGAGTCTTTATAGATTGCATGGTAGATGCACTTTCCACTGACTTTCCCTTTCCTGCTGGAATCTGATAGTTGAAGAAGTTCGGTTCCAAGAGATGGGCAAGCCTTTCCAGAATCCTCTTGATATGATTTAGAAACATCCTTTAGTAGATTGATGGCAAAAAGGTCCAGCTTCATATGTGGTCTTTTTTTCATGGAACAAACATGTTTGTCAAATTTGAGTTATTATCAATTGTTACTCCTAGGTATTTGACCTTTCTAACAGGCAGGATGTCTAAACCTTCTATACTTATAGGACAATTCTTGAGCTCCAGGAGAGTTGAGTTTTTGAGTCCTTTATCAGAGATGATAAGTTCTTGGCATTTCTTTGGTATATGACATGGGCCTTCTGAGACTGCTTAGTCATGGAGATGTTGGACACACTGCATGGCAGTTGAAATCAGTTTCTGATTTAATCAATTCTGCAATTACCACATTGTCAGTGTAGAGGGTATACAGGAAAGAATAGAAAATACTGCTTTCGTAACATCCCTGTTTTATAGGGAAGGGTGTCTGACTGCCCTTTGCACCACTGTACATATAGCATATTCACAATGAGGTAGCAGAGGATTTCTGCAAGAAGCAAGCCTGGAATCTCTTCCTCTGCTAGCCAGCAAAAGAGATGCTATTCATCTATGCAGTTGAAAGCAGAGTTGTAATCATCAAAGAGGCTGCAAATGAGGCTTCCTGTTGTTGAGTTATATGCAATGATATAGGCAATGAAAATGTATGACAGCATCAAGCATTGACCTATTACATGCATATTAGACAGGATAAGATAGAGCTCTGTATTTCTTCAGTTGATCAAGTAAGATGCATTTATGGACCTTCAGGAATGGTAAAGTATCGCTGACAGGACTTAAATCCTTACCTTAATTTACCTTCTGAGGTGTTGACTTTTCAGAATTGAAGTGATTTTCACCTTCTTCATAGATTCAAGAGATCTTTAAAATGTAAGTAGCCACTGATTGAATTTTTTATAGGTGTGGCAATGAATTACAATGACAACAGTACATCACTCACCTGATTCATCAGATTCTGATTCATCTGAAGATGATCCACTTCTTTCTGAAGTTTTTGTTGACTCTGGAGATTCATTTTGACCTTCTTCTTCACTTTCATCATGGCATTTCTCTCTTGATGCTCCATTGGAAGCTGATTGCTGATTCTTTGGTAAGGGCATTATTTCCTGTGTGCACCATGCACAATCACATGCAATGAATGAGAATGATACGTCAGGCTTATTTGGTATTAAGAAACAAATAGGAACAACTTCTTAGGTGCATGATGGAGATCTATGTCTAGGTATATGTCCCTAAATGCAGGTATGCCAAGGAAATAATGGGATTGGGAAAAGGATGGATCATCATTCCACAACTCCCTTCCCCGTTTTGACAATAATCAGATATGTGCCTGATGTGCCATCCACAACTCAACAGCAAATGACTCTTGAAGATGACAAAATCTCTCATGGAAACAAGAGGATGAATTCAATTAGGCAGAGGCTCAGTGGCTGAACTATGCCCTTGGCATCTATAATGATTAATATATGATTGCTAGATTGACATTAAGCATAAGAGGAGACTAACCGTGCTTCATTAACACACTTCTTCATATCCTAGGCCCATAGAATAGGATGGGGTGAAGCTGACATGACCAGGCATGCATATCAGTGTTACTGTTTTTACATGATATACACCATATTCATTCTTCCATTTAGTATGCCCAAGAGGGGATGATGCCGCCGATTCCATAAGGAGTAGGAGCTCTGGTAATTCAGTGTTTACACTGCACCTGGAACTTGATTATGGAATTAGGTGGGAAAAGCAATTTGCAAGGAAAGGCAAAAAAGATGAGTCAATACTTTTTATATGAGCATGCCTAGATTCTAGGCTCACTCCATAATTCTTTTAATGTCTCTTCATGTAGTTAACAGAAAAAACCTCTTTCGTGAAACACCTAATACACCCAGGATGCCATGGAACAAGCTTTGTGTCAAATGGTATCCACTTGAGAGAGAGCAAAGAATGACAGCTGTCACCCTCAGAACAGAATTTCAATATCATTTCATCCCCTTCTGTCCTATGCGGTATGGGATGGGGTTTCTTACTGGTCACCGGTCGATGGTGGAGGATGTAATTTTGCTTCCTAATAAATGTCTCAAAGCCGACTGGCAGAGACTACATTAACTACGTTACGGGTGATATTCACGATTTATCACTCGACTCGGACACTCGTGCATGGTGCGTTCCCCATACATGATTGTCCAAGTTATGCGAAGAAATGTCTTGCCCGAGCGAAAAACACTGTACAATCGCGGTCAATTTCCCAATCGTAATCCTAAGGCCTATGGAGATCCTATGCGTCCAATCTTTAACTTCGTCGACCGTGGCTTGACTGGTGGCTTCATACGGCCGTCTCCACCGTCACAGAGTAAGCACCTCAATGCTCAAAGCCAACGTGCTCTTCCGTCCCGCGCTCCGCATATATAAACTTGTTACGCGGTTGCCTACCCGTCGCCATTGCTGAGCTTGCTTAGGGACTGCCGCTTCCTGCAGGTGTCGCGCTGATTTCATCTATCATGCTGGCCGCCTAGAATGCCAAACTCTTTCTTTGTACCGAACTGTAAGACCGAGAATGAAACACCTGACAGCCCACGCAGTACAAGTGTATCCCAAAGATATCCCAGAGATATTCCTCTGGGACAAGTGAGAAATCCTATATATAATAATCCCATAGACTTGGGACGCCTTTGGGAAATCAAAATATCTGGGTGCCTTTCTTTCTGAAAAGGGCTCATTTCTTTCTATACAGGACCACTCGCTAAGATGTCTCTACTGAACCTTCTAGAACTCTCCAGTCTTAATTTCTTGACCGATTGGAGGCTAATGTTAATGAGGGAGAGAATTCTTTACTTGAAAGACTCCAATAAAGAGACACCCCAGATAACATTTTTCGTGGGGCCCACATTGGTCCAACGTGGTCCAACGTCAGGATACGTTGGCCCAACGTAGGTTGTTCACATAAGCCCCACGTGAAAGTGACAGTTGGTCACTGGCCAACGTTGGCAGTAAGTTGGATAGCAACGTATAACCCACTTACCCAAGTAGCCTGTTTTTGCTCTATATAATCATCATTTCGTACCACATACTTGGACGTGGAACTTCCCCCGACTGTACTGATAACAGGATATGACATAGAATGGACCACCTCGTATGGTACCATAAAATGTCCGCGATATCAGTCATTTATTTCCGCCTCCTGCAGTGGGGATAAGGAAATAGCGGGATTAAGTTCACGGACGCCCGCTCTATAATTTCGAATCTCCTTTTCGGATACAATCCTCTTGGCTTTCAAATGGGTTCTCATCTGGAATGAGTTTGTTCATGGCCTGAGCTCTATGAATCTGTCTTGAATAAGTGAATAACAAATGATGAAATGTCCACGTTTATTGATTCCTATGAGACTAGGCGAGACATATGGTGAAGTACTAAACAATCCTGCGAAGGACGATTCCAGGAAAGGAGGGAAGGGAACTTCTGCGTGCTGTGCGAAAAGCGAGACCCCATACCTCCATCTAGTGGCCTGGCGAAGAACTTCAAGGTTTTGAAGTTCTCCACCAGGAGTTCTGCAGCTCTTTTCAACGTGTGGATATGCACACGTTGGGCCCACACGGGGCCAACATCGTTCCCCAACATTCATGTTCCGCCAACGTTTCCCACCTTTATCCAATGTGGGCCCAACATAAAGTGTTATCTGGGACATCTCCGTAGGATAAAGTTTACCTCATTTTATGAGAATTCGCTCAGTTTCGTGAACGAGATACAAAGGCCTTCTTTCTCTAGAGCTGAAACATGGGCTCAGATTTCCAACCAGGATAGTGGTACTCAGACATGCCGATCAGACATCATTAATAGGAATAGAATGGAGTACATTAGAACCACAATATTTTCGCTTTCCTCAGTGGCAGTTTTCCTGACGTACGGTACGGAAATCATTGATTCTCTTCTGTACAAATCAAGTTAATAAAATTGTTAGAAAAGTTCTGAGGTTGGTGATCAGGGCACGTGGGAGACATACACCGTCAAAGTTATGCACCTAACTGAAGGTGACAAAGACGACTGAAGATGTCTTAAAGACATCCCTGATATGTCCCGAAGACATCTCTTACGGGTATATTCAGGAGCATTCGTCTAAGGATGTCTAAAAAAAAAAAACTTTTCTAAGATGTCCTTAGGATCTCCTATAAAGACCTTGGGGCGAGTTGTCCCGTTGGGGAAATCCCTGGGATGTCACCGTACTGTGTAGAAGAGCATTCCTGAGGCATTAATGCGTATACCCTCGGTGCCTTCCCACTTTTGGTAAATTGATATCCCGTGTGAATTGCAGTCGTTGGATAAAAGAGACTAGATGGTAGAAAAGTGTCTCCCCAACATTGAGATTTTCAACTTTAACATTGCTAGTTAAGTAGGAGGAAATAAGGGAAAAAAAATCTGGGCTTCAAATTCTCTATATTCAAGATGTTATTCAAACATTTGGCAACTGGGTTCAAGGTGGTAGCCTCCATTCATCCCTAATGCAGATGCCACTGGTACTACATCCGACTTCGAATGCCTCCTGGAGCTGTTTCACCCGTTTCATTCAGCTTGCGTCATGCCGTTCTTAAATAAGACTCAGATGTTACTTATACGGATGTTTCTTTCCAGTCATTCCCAAGCAAAACTTGGAAAGTACTGGCTGGATGAAACAGCACATCAATCCAGAGCAGAACTGGCTAAACAAAATCCAAATCCCAATTGTTAGTTGCCCCATCGGTCAAGGAGTGTTTGGTTAATCAAAGCTGAAGAGGAAACTGAGGCCGGAATTGCAACTAAAGCTCAACAAGTTCGTTCCTGTTCGAGTGGCCTACCCTTCTGCATAACGTAAGCCTGTTTTGACCTTCGTATTGGCTTGCAGTAGATTTATCTATAATAATATTTTCCATCCAGCTGGTTTATATCAAAAGGATATAACTTCCTTTGCATTCTTCCCTGGATATCCCTTTGCTCTCTCTCTCTTTATTCTTTTCCTTATACCGAAAAAAAGGCAACATAAAAATAAAACCATATCCATGATTAGATTCATCTTCGCCGGTGTACACCCACGCTTTCATATACTGTATCATCTTGTATTCTACTTCATTTCCTTCAAGAACCACCCGGGAAAAATATTTTCGGGGCCGCCTGTGTTTTCAACCCCCTGGCACACCCTCGCTCAAAATAATCGCTAACCGTGTCAAAATAATAAGGTGTGAAAATTAGGAATTCAGATCCTATTTAAAACAAACCCCCGTCCCCCTATCTCGCGCAAAAAAGTTATTTACGATAATCAGGGGTAGGCATGACTTTTTCCTACCTTCTACTTGTCACACGTGAAAACAAATAGGGTAAAACATCTAAGTTCGGACACCATTAAATAAATTGTTAAAAAACAAAACATTTACGAGGTCATCCTCAGAAACAGCTTTTTCGACGCTGCAAAGGACTGTTTCTGAAAGAAAGCGCACCGATGCTTTTTTTTTTTAACGATGTACCTGATAGTGTCTGAACTTAGGTACTGTCCGAAATTAGATAGATGATTTTACCCTAACGAATAAAATAATAAATACAGTAAAATTTTCTGAGACCCCTGTCGTCCCCACCTTGTTTTCTTGTACTTCTTCAAACAAGTGTACCTGCGAGGAGCAGTGTTCAGACTCCGCTTTCCCCGGGATTTTCGGTATTTCAACATTGAAAAATGATTCTTTATAATCACTGCTTGAGCGTTTTTTTTTTTAAGCCAGGCAGAAATCTCCCTTCTTCATCTGAGATGATATATTGCATGTCTCGGATGGATATTTAAAAAATGAACCCTTTTTTTTTTAGAGTGTACGGTACATTCCATTCCAGATCACCTCGACCATGAGCCATTCAAAATAACCGATGCGTGGTTAGAAAAATATACGGTCCGAGTGCACATGAATGTCACATGCAGCTACTTCCAGATTATTTCCTTTCCTCATGTTCAAATATGGGCTCCATTTTTTGGCGACGGTCCAAAGTCACTTGTACTGGAACAAAAACTGGAACACCGTAGTCTCCATAAAGATATAGATTACCATGGCAGACTGTGCACACTATGCAACCACGGAGAGATAGAAGACGAATTTCATT